AAATGTTTAATAATACCATGCCCTAATCAGGACTATTACTTTCAGTTGTTTGTCTGCCCTGTAACTACTTAACTACAGGAATAATAGAAAACAGCTATAGAAATAGTTTTGAAAATACCTGCCCCAAATTACTCTAAAGATTTTCATATTCTGTAGTGTTTGGAATTAGGAGGGATAGAAGGTAGAGGGCTGAAAAAAACAAGTGGGGGAAAAGAAATGTGGTTTCAACACGGTTTTAGCAAGGAGGAGAAGGACTTGGAGCAGCAAAGTAACACCGGATGTTAGGAGGATCTTGATGAAAACACCATGCTAGCTGGGCTGTCATGTGTTGAGAGGCTTCTGATTGTTATTTACAGTCCTTGATAGTAAATGTTGGGAAAGTGATCTCTGAGAGTTTGTAGGTGGGGTGGGTAGGACCTGTGTGATCAGGACTCAACACATGCAGCTGGCACAGAGTGAGCACTGTGGCTGACAGCAAGCTGCTGTATTATGCATAGGGGTATGCCCCTTTCCCTCTCACTATGAGCGGTGTGCCTGTGTCCCCAGTCCTTCCAGCTTGCTGTTTGAGGTACCTTCTGCTAACTATTTGGATGCTAGTTATGTTCCAGGTATACCAGATCATCCTGCATGAGCATTAGTGCACAAGCATCTCCTTTGGCAAGGGCAATTCCCAGTGTGACGTTTCAAAGTGGTCCATTCTTGCAGACTTTAAACACATATTCTGCATGGCCGATCAAGACAGATTAAGAAACCTGTGATGGGCAAGATTTACTTTCCTTTGCAGCTGTTTAGCAATGGTAGCTTCTTTAAAATCCTCATTCCCAATATTGGGAAATACATGCTATGAGGGATTTGACTTCTTCCTAATGAAAACTGCACAATATGGCACGGTAAATAAAGCAACTGAAACAATGAGTATTTGACATACACACTTGCAGTGACCTGTGGTTGTGTGTATCAAGGATAAAGATGAAAGGAGGGAGGGTGTTTTTTTCTTCATAACCTGCTCCTGGGAGATTCAGTCAGAAGTACTACTCTCATTTCTCCATCTTCTGTACCGCAACTGAGTAGCAGATTGTTTGCTCTGCAAAAAGACAGTTGCAGGAGGTATCACTTCCTACAAATTCTTTATTTTGCATTGACTAAATAAAAGTCCTGTCTTTTAGCGATCTGTGCAGTGCTAAAACCAGCACTGATCATACACAACAGTCTGTGTGGTTCTTTCAAGAAGTAACGTTCCTGCCCCGGCATGGGTAAATGGTTACTACAGCCTGAATATAGAAATGCCAATATTTATTACTCTCTGGCCTGAAAGTATCTGTAAGTTCACAGGCAAGAGATGCAGCTAAAGCTGTAGCTGCTTCTACCTGAATCCAGTAAAATGTCCTATTTTTTCTCCCCCAGATGCTTAGATGCTGCTGCTATTTCCTTCACTCAAATGTCTGCATGGTATATATGCTGAAAAAAAGTCCTTACAGATACCAGTAGTTCCAATGGGAAGTTATTCAGGAAGGAGGGGGTTGAGGAGGGCAGGAACAGAAGATTACGTTCCAATATTTGAAAAATTAGAAAAGAATGAAAAAGAAGAGCATGTGATCTTTCACTGTTTAAAGTCCATCAGTTATTTGGTATGCCCTGGAATCCTACACTTGATTCCCACAAAGGTGAGGCCATTGTCAACATCAGAATATTAAAATAAACCTCAAAACCCACTAAAATAATGTAGATGAAATAGAAAACCAAATGACTGCAGACTTAGAAAGGTCAGTGAGCCCAGTCTGGAGGGTGTTGCTAACACAGGTGCTGCATGTACTCCAAGGCAGCCAAATGGAGAGAGACAGCAGTTAACTGGATGGTTTTGCTATGGTGCAGTACAAATAACAGATTACAATAGAGATGTGTAGATGCTGTAGTTGCAAGACACCTGTTTTCATCAGGGAAAGAACTCCAAATTTGAATATCAGAGCATCTCTAAGAGCTTCTGAGGTTCTTGTGTGTTCAGCATCTAAGGAAGTACCTAGTATGCTACTGAAAAGCTCATACCTGCTCTTCCTCCAGAAGGAACTAACCTGCATCAGTTTGAAAAGTTGCAGCCAGAAGGCAGGGTGTTGTTCTGTGGATAGTACGTTGGCCTGTTACGTTCTCTTACATTTCAGGATTTATATTACAACCCTACGTTTCTAGCACTGGGAAAAAAATTAATGTTTTAATTGACAGCATTTATTGTTGAGAAGACTAACTGTAGTATTTTGGTCAGAAACATCACTCAGTCTGTGCCAGGCAGTTTGATGAGCATAGAACAAATCTGAGTTTACAGGCTCTTTTTCTCTGAGATTAATCAAACCTGAAGCAGCATGAAACTACTGGATCTGAGAAAATAGGTGAGATTGTAAAAATTGATATTGCTAGTTTTTATGGTGAGATTTAATGTGAACTAAATGCATACAGACATAGTATATAATTATTTCTTAAAGACTAAATGCTTCCCTTTGGAATTCAGGACAAATATGTTGGCAAACTTTATTTTAAACTAATGTTCTAAAAGCAAGGTGGAAAAATGAGAGGAGCTAAAAGATGATGATAACATCTCTCTGAACATGGTACCATTTTTAGCACCCTGCTGAGAATGAGAAGTCCAGGGTTTAGCAACCTGTTGTAGAACAGGCAGTGAATACAATTGCATCCTGAAAAGATCTCTGTAGGCTTCATCCTGACCATCTGACCTTATTGTGCGACAACTCCACTTGCCAGCCATACCAAACAAACAAGAGAAATACCTTACCCTTTTCAGATTTAAGATAATATTACAGCTTGTGAATAAGATTCCCAGTATGTGGACATGACAACTACGAAAAACTATAATTTAGGACATAGAGTATTCTCTTTATGCTTTTATGTGGAATTTCACTTTAATGCGATGTAAATGACAGTGAGAAGTACATTCACAGAATGTTAAAGCCTTCCCATTAAAAATTCTGTATGCATTTTATATTCTAATTCATGTACAGTCAAAAACCCTGATAAAATCATAGTACTGATTTGACTGCTGCACTTATCGTATTAATGAGGATACTTTATGCCTTTTGAAAATTGGGATATGGTCCATTATGTGATTGTGAATGATGTGATTGTATCGCATCAATTTGTTATTCAATCCCACCCCTCCCTTCAGTCAACTTTGTATATAGGAGAAGCCATTGGTGAGCATGCATGGAGGTAGGAAAAGCCACATTCAAAATTAAGGTTTTTTTTCTTTTATCTTTTCACTTCTAAAACATATTATGTATGTATTTTTTCCAAATCCTGAAATTTACTCAAACTTCAGAGGGGAATTTATAGAGGTGTCCAAAATCTCCAGGGGAGCAGCTGAAGTTGGCTGAAAGTAAGACTCAGCTAGGTCAACTCTCCAACTTTCTGGATGAGTGTGTGAGGTGGGATAATGTTGGGCATATACCATATTCTGGACTCATCCTCTTGCCTCTCTGTAGTTCGTGAAGAGAGATGGACACCTCTACAGGATGATTCTCTATGCCTGTCCCCCTCCACACACTGTACAGGGGCCTCGGTTTCTAATTTGTATCTTTTAGACAGGGAAAGTCAGATAAGAAAAATCTGGCTTGCTGTGACTGGATCTTAAAAATCTTTTCTAACCCCTCTCCAAAATGGCAAGAGGTTAAGGACTGAAAATGGCATTTTTATTGTTGACAACACGTTTCTTCATTAGAACTGCATGGATAATTTTAAATATTTTTATGTCTTCTCTGGGCTAATCATTAAAGTGCTTTCACTTTAGGAAACACCCTTGTCCTTGTGGCTTTCTCTCTGGTTGTGTCTGGTTTTAAGTCTGTGGCAAATATCTTAACCTTAATGGGAATAAAACCCTGTAGTTCCCAGCTGGGGCTATTGCGAGCGTTTCCAGACTAAGCAAAACTCCCTACCTCACATGAAGAAGAGGTATACATTCTCCAAAACATAATAGCTGATGCATAGAAGACGTGCCTCAAAGATGTCTTAAAAGCAGCATTGTAACAAGAAAATTAAATCTGCGTTCTGGTGTCTTTCCCTTAGATTCTATCCATTAAATATTTAATTCTGTCTGTAATGATGGTCTCTATCATTAACTTGTCACTGAACGTTATGTTTTTCTGATGCTGCCATCTCCACTCAGTGTCCTGTTGCTGCCTGTGGTTTTCTGGGTATTTTTGAATATTATCTTCAGTTTTACTGCCCAGTCCATTTTTATGTTTCATTTGTTCATAAAAATTTCTTACTACTGGTTTCAGCTTCTCTGAGGTGATACTGCCACATGCTACAATATATGTTCCAGGAGGGTGTTTGTGAGAGCTTTGAAACAAAAATTTCCAAGTTCCTACTATGCAACCTTGTACTTCTAGTATTTGGACTTGTTAATGTTGGAACATGACTTGAACAGTTTATCAAAAAGCGTATGTTCTCTTGAATCTGACTGCCAGTGTTAAGGCAATTTGTTTGTAATGGCTTTCTTGATTTCTTACTGTAGTCCAGAGGAATACAATAGACTCTGCATATACATGCACACATGTGCAGGTGGTATGAAATAGCAGAGTGTAAAACTATTTTAAAGTGTCCTTTTTTGGGGTACAGGGAAGATATATTTAAAGGTCAAAGGGAAACATTAATCGGGTTAGATAAATTTTACCCTATTTAAATTCAAACCCAATAAGAACTTTATACAATCTTTTGGACAAAGCCTGCAACGTTCTAATCTCTGCAAATCCACTCTGTACTGTTCAGTGCTCTTCTTATTAATCAGTTCTACAGAGCTGTACTCTTCTCAATACTGTTACACACACTGCATTTTTATTCTTCAGCTTCAGCTTGGCCTTTTCTGTATTTTTGCTTCATCTTACATTCAATTACCCACAGCCTAGTTTTCAGAATAGAGTACTATCGGTGGCTGCGTTTAAGCAACAGACCATTATGTCATCTTGCTTCATATATTTTGCTCTGATCTTTTTTAGGATGAAGCTCATTTGAGAAATCTTTCCTCTGCCTTTGGGGAGAAATAATTTGCCTCCTTCCACAAGGTCTGAAATTTGCCTTTTCGATGCCTTTGTTATTAAAAGAACAAGCAAACACCCAGCTTATTTACATCTTGGATTCTGTTATCTTGCTAAATGTTTTATTGTTGCGGTTTCAGAAATACCAAGCTATTCTTCTAATTATTGTTGCTCTATTTACAGCTTTTGTAAGAGTATTTAGTGTTCCAAATTCAATGTCTACTTTCTTCAGAAGCCATTTTTTGTCATGTATGCCTTTGTGTTTGGGAGTGAGTTTATATATGTGTGAGTTTATATATATGTGAGTTTATGACAAGCATTCATGAAACTAGAAGCTCTTTCCTTAGTGAGAGCTCTCTTTGAAAAAAATCCACAGCACACAGCTTACAACAGTGGATGAAAGTCTTGGTCAGGCTTTAGAGATGATGCTTGGGATTGAAATTTAGACTTGCTCAGAACCTCCATGCTTTTTATGCCATTTTCACCATTGCATTTGAATTCATTTTTCTGGCCAAAATATAAGGGACTTTTAATTTTTTAATTTATTTTTTTTTTAGCATACCCTTCAAAAGCAAGGACATGTTGTTAATATATTTATAGTCTTTTATATATATTCATAAATATATACACTAAAATACATTTACATGTACACACACTAATTATTTGTCAGTAGGTAGTAAAAACACACAATTGTCTTCTACATAATTCTGTTGCATTGCTAAGAGTTATTGTTTACCAAGGCCTTTTTGTCCACAATTTCCATCTGTGGCAAAATTCCTGCCCAAAATTGATGGTGGTAGTTCCTTTTAAGTAACAAAATAAATTTCTTCCTACTATCTCTTGATCCCAAATCTTTTTGAGCTGTGTCTTCTCTGATTTTTCTCCCAGAACTCTTGCTTCATCTTCTGCTTGGAGAACTGGAAGTAAACGCCATGTTTTGATTTGGGGATGGAGGCATATGTCGGTGTTGGTCATTTAATATAACTGCTATGTACAAATATTTAATGCCTAGGATTCCAGTTAGAGAGAAATTGAAACCAGCATAATACATGCAGTTGACCAGCTTCTGTATTTAGGGTGAGGTTGTAATGTTTTTATTACCTTCAGTGTGGTTTCTGTAATGTATGTATGCGGAACTATATACGGACACCACAGATTTTAGAATTAAGAATGGCAGTGGATACCAAAAAAGAAAGCAAAAATCCCAGCCACGATACTTTAGAAATCTTGTGCTGGAAATACAGACAAAAAATCCTTAGTTTTTAATAGTATAAAACGTAGTAAAAGTTCATTCAAGTCCTCCAAAATAATTGTCTTTAATTAATATTATTATTGATCATGTAGTAGAAGACACAGCCTGAATGATACAAGGATTTCAAGGGAATGCTTTACATCTTAATTATGTTTCCCTGGGAGATTTAACATAATTCAATTTATTTTCCCTTGTGTTTCATCAATCATTATATGAATAGAAAGGATATCTGAGCTTCATGTCTAAGTGAATTCCTGTAGATTCAAGAACTTTTGACAATATACAGATTAGAGAGAGGAATGGAGCATACCTTCTGTGGAGGAATGAACCTTCAAAGCCTCTAAAACGATGATAAGACTGTTCTCTATTGTTGGTAAATTTTCTGAGGACAAACTGTTGAGGTATATGGCCTCTGTAAACCCAGTTCTGCTACAAAAAACACATTGAAATTGGGCCAATTATTTTTTTTTTTTAGCCAGCTATTTCTGTAAAGACTTTATTGTGCATGGAAAATACACATGCATGTTTTTTTGGTCTTGCAAAAAGTACTGATGAATTTAACTAATTTTCTGTATGATAATCTATTATTGCCATAATCCATGTCACAGAGTAATTTATAGGTGGTGTTGAAACTTGCCATTGCTTGGTACCCAGCAGGCTCTGCATATCTATTTTGGAAACTGCCAAGTTATTCAGAATATTCATCACCTTTTATGTCAGGCTTCCAAAGCACCCATTGAAATGAAATAGAGATTATTTTTAGAGCAAAACGATCATCACCTGAGATTTTCTTTATATATAGGGTACTGATATTCACAGACATGTTTTATGCAAGGAAAGTCCTGCATTAAGAAAGTCCGTGTACTTTGCTAGTCCTGTTTCAGTACAGATCATTGCAACTGGTTCTCTCTTCCCTATCTGGGTATTCTCTCGGCGGCTGATGAGCTGTCTGTGTGCGTGGGGGCTGCGAGCGCGCCGGAGGGGTGAAAGCTGTGCTGAACCCAGCGTGGGGTGCACACGGCTGCGTGACCACCACACTATCACAGGGCAGTGCAGAAGTGTCGTTTACCTCCTCCGTGCACCTACTGTGCAGTCTGGTTAGCAATGGCAGGAGGAACTGGAGATCATCTATTGCTAGGGGGGTTGGTTGGATGAAGGAGCTTTTTAAAAAATATCAAATAAGTCCAGATCTGAGTCAGTGACTTTTAAAATGAAAGGTCTGCTCTGTTACTGTTAATGGGCAGGCTTTCATAATTCTTTGCTATTAGAGTACTAACTCTCTCTTTTCAAAGCCTTCCTGAACCTCTCGTTGTCCAGCATTTGTATCCCTCACTTTAATGAGTGCTAAATAAGAATTATATAAGTATTTCAATAATTCTCACTGGACAGTTAATTAAGCAGCACTGACTCTAAGGAGCAGTCAGCTATTACCTCCTTTTACAGACAAGTGCTTCCACAGACACAAAGGGAAGAGGTCAATTTAAAAAAAAAGATGTGTGGATTAGTAATCTTTCTCCGTAATAAATGACCTAGCTAACAAGCTGAAACAGTGAAATAAAAACTCACCTTTTTTTTTTCTTTTTTTTTTTTTCCCCCTCATTTTTCTGATCCAATCTCTTGTGTTCCTTCAACCATCTTTTATACAGGAAATTAATTCCCTTTAACTTTTTGGGGCCTGAATATTTTGAACTAGAGCTCTCCAAACTTGCTTCCCTCAGAAAATCGCGTGGGGCACTGCCCTGCCCAATTCTTCATTACACATTCTTTTTTAACAGCTTCTGTTTTTTCTCATATTTGATAGATCCTACCACAAACTTCAACTAGAGTGAGTGCAGAGGACCATAATACCAGTCTTACACACAGGGTATTTTATTAAGTCCAGCAGTTAAAAATGTACAAAGTTCCTTGTAATAATCCATTCATTCTGTTCTCGCCTGATTCTTGGAGTAAGCCTGCACAATTATTCAAATCCCAGCTTTTAGCTACAGCATACACCTCGCCATGGGGCTATGCCTCTGTAATCTTGCTTTGGTCTTGCATGTCAAATGGAATTAACTCCCATAAGAAATATATGCGAAGACAACCCAAAGTGTCTAATCCTACTGCTGTCTTAAATTTCTGAAACTCAGACCTGTCATCTTTTTCTATAGCTTTGTTGAAGTTCTCACTTATGCTTCAGTCCATCCAAAGATGAAGTTTAGGAAAATTTGCATTTTTATATATTTTTCAGTTGTGCACTCCTGTGGCCTTTTCATGTGTTCTCTTTGTAGAAGTATTTTTTTTTTTTCAAACTCAATTCCTATTTTATACTCAGTGGAACGCCTGATGGAGGTGGATTCAGTTGCTTTTAGCTGGCAGTATACAAGTTTAAACATACAGAGCATTACGCTAGTTGACGATGCTCGTGCCACATGGATGTGTGGAAATAATGATATCATTATGACTATACCTTAGCAGCTCAGCCTAGCTAATCACAAAACCTAATTCTGACTCGATTAAATCTCAAATAGCATTGCTTTCTTCATGAATAAAGTGCTTGCTGAAATTAGCTTTGCTTAGTGTAACTACACTGTTTGTGTGTTGTACTAGAAGTAGATTAGCTTTCAAAGCAGCCTTTCCAATGTGTCTGTCTTCTTCTGTTCTCTAGGGGGCATGCTTTCAAATTTCAACAAAAAATGCCTACATTATAAATAATGAAAGGGAGGAAAAAGCAAAGCATTATCAGAGAGAAACTTAATTTTCCACTTATTCAATCAAATATCAACCAGATCTGATTAGGGGTGGCCAATTTCAGATGAACCAGGCAAAATACATTTACATAGGGGGTCCAGTTTCAACATAATTTCAGTAAAAAGCAATTACAAAATTATAGTCAGATAGAAAGCTGGTTCTTCTAGGTGTCTTGGCTAAGTGAGGTTGGAAGGGTAAAACTGTAACTTATTGTAGTGGATATTTAATAAGTGGTAAGCCGCAGCACTCTCCACTTGAAAGTTAATTAAGGCCGTAGAATGACCATACTTGTACAGCAAATATGTTAATGGGTTAGCCATGGTAACTGTCACAACAAAGCCCAGCAAAAAATAATGGCTTTATGCATCATTTTTGCTGATCATTACATCTTTTTAAAAATGCTGTGGTCTTTTGTTTTGCTCTGTTTTGTTTGTAGAATTTTGGGAAATGGTGTAGTAGCATTTAATTTAGGAACTGCTTAATGTCATTATTAGGAACTGAGACTGGAATACTGAGGTGCAGAAAAAGGTTAAAATATTTGCTTATGTACTGGCACTAAATAAATGACAGTAAATAGTGCTCGTCAGCAAGACTTTAGTATTTTTAGGCAGGCTGTGTGGCTTTTAGAGAGTACGATTCAGCTCAAAAAGCTTGAGCTAATACTTTACATATAGTATCTAGTTTATGAATGTAATTGGTGCATTATTTTTGTTGCTGTTGAATAAATGAACTCGGTGGCAAACAGGCTATCAATTGACTGTTCTACTTTAAGTGGATTAAATCTTAAATTTTCTTCCAAGAAGTCTCCTCATTCAGATTATGGTCAATTCTGGTCTTCAGGGTTGATTTTGCGTGCTCGCTTCCCATGAATTTTGAACTTAGTTAGCAGTCCAAGTGAGGATGGGGCAGGGGAGCATTTTGGTTTTGGGTTTATTTTCTTTCTCCAGCTGTGTGGCCCATATTTCAAGAAGCTTGAAAGGCTTCATGTGGAAAATTAATAAAATATTTTCTGTGAGGCATTCACTGAAATACTTGGTACCTCTCT